AGACAGTGTGTTTATGATCCCAAACTACTCTCCAGCGACGATGTATATTAAATTAATAAATTTCTATTCTTACAGTTTGTTTGAGGCAATTCGTAAATATAAGAGAGTCTCCCTATGCATGTAATTTTAAAAATTGCTGAATGTGTTCTCTCATAAATAATTTTAGTTTTAACAGAGTACTAAGTAGTAAGGTTGCTTTTGAGACATTGATAATGGCGCCGTTTTTCTTTTTACATAATATTAATTAACGACTATTATCATCTAAAGTCCTAGTGCCTTGTTTGTGGAAGAATCATGATTGGGCTCGATATTGCGGTAATAGTGCTTATTTGTCGAGACGTCGTCTAAGTCTGGGGTATCCGTGCATTCGTATGGGCTATAATAAATTTATTAAACAATGTTTTAGTATTTTCTTTTCCATATTGAACCAATATTTATCATTTGTTTGAGCCTCTTTTAAGTAGATGTTAGTTCAAGTTTGTGCCGATCATTGTTTCAGAAATATAGAATTAAGTAATACTTAATCATATTTTCTGTAAAACTGTTTGGAATTTACTCATTTGTAGAGAATCGTAAATTCTTGACAGAGATGCGCCAACCGTTCAGTTAACAATAGTACTCAGTAAAACCTGGTTCTGAGTTAACCTTCGTGTGACCACATAAAGGAATGTATTAATAAACTTTACTTTTCACTACTGTACTTTTTTAGACGACAACTGTTTCTGAAATAAAGTCATAGATTGCTAAACGGTCATCTATTTCATAGAGTAAGAGTTCAAATAACTATAAATTTTCAACTACACCATGAATACTACACGGGTTAGTGATGTCGCATGTTATTATTATTATATGTTGGTGATTCAATTTGCAGTCTACACGTACGCCTCTACCAATGACGTAACGATCGCATTGTCGCACTGACCGCTATAGTGTTCAATAATTATGTCAACAGCAACTAACTACCAGAGTCAATATCCCATGGGTCTAACTTCTAGTCTATCCTGTTTTCGGCACTCGCTGCTTACACTACGGCGACGATGTAGATGCGGTAGGGTGTCCGTTTCTTCGTAGTTTTAGTTTAGTAGTTTAGTTTTAAGTAAAATCATAGGTAAAATTTGGAACGCAATACTATAATAGATATAAGAAGTCAACTTTGACATCTTCCGAGCTTTACTCGCTGTTATTTTAGTCAACGATGTGTCCTCAATGTTAAACCTAGCTAGATCGATTTATCGCACCCGAACCCCCAAATACAACATTTCAAGAAAATCGTTGAAGCTGTTTCCGAAATCGTTAATACATACACATACTATATACTAGATTTACTCGTTAATTGGTATTTGATTATGTGTGTACGACCACGTAAAAACTCCATACTAAGGGATTCCTTATTTTACAAAAACAATATCTTAATTGGTTTTTAATGAATTAATACCTAATAACGCCGTTCGTTAAGCAGAATATGAATTAATAATGTTGTCGATTTTAATGATCTACTTAAGCAATGTTGGTATGTTAATGCGTTTACAAATTGTACCGATCATCAAATAAATGAAGATTACTTTTAACTATATAGAAGATTACCTCGTTGGTCAAGTGGCCTCAAGCGAGCCTGGTGAGCAAAGGGTCTCGAGTTTGACTTCCCAGACTGGGTAAAATATTTTTTCTTATCTTTTTCGGACATTTGTCAGTAACAAAGTCTGGAATAGTACCCGGTATATACCTCTATAGTAAGTAGGTTCAACACTTAATATATCGGTTTCGTATTATAATTGGTAAAAAGTGGATGATACATACATGTGCGTCTCTGCCTATCCCCTCAGAGATTGAGGCGTGATAACAGGTGAGAGGGACAATGTATTCAAACAGTAACTTATCTTCATGTAGGTCAACTTTGTATCGTTCACAGTTTTTGAAATGTCTCGATATTAGGTGAAGAGTTTATTTGATTGAGTTTGTTTGTTTTGCGCTAATATCCGAAATCACTGGCACGAATTAAATAATTCTTTGTATGCTGAATTGTCAATTTATTGAGGAAGGTTATACCTCTATATAAGGCTAAAGGCTAGTCGTGTGCTGTACAACATCTTCAACTGAGGCGGCGGGTGAAAGCACGCAGAAGTTGTTTGTTTGATCGCGCTAAGCTCCAGTAATACTGGATCGAATGTAATAATTCTATTTATGTCAGATAAGAATACATTTATCGAAGAAGGGTACATGCTATGAAACATCATCATCATCAATAACCACCGCAAAAACCGCCTTGAAGTGGATAGTAGATATTGACCATAATCATATTTTCTATAGAACTGTTTGCAATTGGCCGCCTCTCTAAAGAGTTATAAATACTTGCCCGGATTAGGAAGTGCATATTCTGTTGTATTGGCGGTGCATATTGTTCATGTAGGTAATATAGCTCTATAATATTAGTTCGCAAATTTCTTTTCAGACGAACTAATTTACAACGTTATTGTAAGTTAACTAAACAAAAAAATTGTTTTGTTCTTATTATAGATACGTGCCGTAAATATTTATATAAACCGATTTCCGTTTGGCTAAAAACAGAATCGGTACAATCAAAATGATCAGTGAAGCCTTACAATACACAGTTGCATTACCTCTAGCACCATTCATTGGATTCATTCATTGTTTTATGGCACGACCGGAATAAACTAATCTTTTTATAACAATAGGCAAAAGTTAAAAATGGAAAATGGTTCTGTTCGTGAAATAAAAGAGTTATGTTACCTAGCGATATTGAGATAAGCAACACAAATGTTTCCTTGAATGAATAATTGTTTTAGGGCATGCGGGCACATTCGTGGAACACAAGCCTTTGTTTCATTCATTCTGAACTATTATTTTAAACTTCTCAAACAAACGAATCAGAAAACTATTATTAGGTAAATTGTTGCTAAGACGACCCGACGCTGTACCATGGCCGCGCTACCTCGTGGTATTAAAACCTTTTTAAAGTCGACTCAGTGATTGACAGTGATTTAAACCTGTCATAATTCAAACCTCTAATCTCTTTAAGCGCTGATCATGGCACCTGAGCTGACTAGTTCGAGGCAACGGACCACAGATTTTATCACTCATCAGGTTTGTTACTATGTTACGTCCGGGATAAGATAAGAAAAAGTATACCCTATTTTACTCTAGGAATGTGCCGTAATAACATATGTGTTGCACCATGGAGGCTTCGGAGAAGGTCTCTTTTAGAGGACCCGGTGCCCGTTACAGGTGCTGAAGCTCGCCACCGGGATGGTTTTAGTGAGGTACAAATCCCACACTCCCTAGTCTTTCTCTCCAAAAAGCTAGGCGCCATTTGAAAGTTTACTCCGTCATCAAAATAAAAAGGTATATAATTGTAATACAATTATCACGTGATAGACAAAATATAATTCTATGATCTTATTCGAAACTAAACAGCTATTTGTATGCAGAACAGTGTCGAAAACGTGTAAAAAGAGAGCGAAACCAGAGCATAAAATCTATTTTAACCCCGGAATCGAACCCAAGATCCCTTGCAGTCGCACTTGCAACCATTCGGCCAACGGGGCAGTCAAACAAGTTAGTGAAAGTCAAATTTGATTAGGGTAAACACGATCTTAAAATGGTTTCTAATGTAACAATTATAAAATGATGAAACAACAGTATGAACATCAGTAAAGTACAGGGCTACGGTGCGCCGTAGCACAAGTGCTACGCCGTAGCAGATGGAAGAGGGCGGCGTAGTAGTTTGGTTACGAACGTTTTTGACGTATCTTGTCGCTATGATATTAATTGCGAAATCATTTTCAGCAACATACTACATCAGAACAACTGACAGAGCGAAGTTCTCACGGGTCACGCAGATATTCGAATAACATCTTTGGAATTACGAAAACAAAAGATAATAGCAATCCTAATGGCGCCCAGTTGTCTATAAATATTTCATAGAAACTATTAACAGTCTCTATTGTGCTGTCTTATCTCTGGCTCGCTCTTTTGTATTGTTCCATAAAAAGAACAACTGCTTTGGAAATTATCTTTTTACTTCGTGTTAAAATACCACGTAGCGTTGTTCGTACCTTCGGTCTTATTAAGTTTACATAAACGCATGGCATTTCACAACTATTTACGAGTACAAAGCCAATAAGAAGGAAACAAAGAAAGTATGAAATAAGAAATAATGATTTATCACTCATTAGATTAATAACAAGTTGTAACCAATTATAAATATAATGTGCGCATTAGTATTATCATAATTATGATGTTATTGTAATTCTTTAATTTACACACATAACATAACATCACGCCTTTTATCCCCGAAGGGGTAGGCAGAGGTGTACATTATGCCACTGTACAATGTAACACCCACTTTTCAATATTTATGTTATGAGTCCCATGTAATAGGGGGTGAGCCTATTGCCATATACCGGACACAATTCCAGACTCCGTGCTACTACTGAGAATTTATAAAAACCCAGTAGTACTTCGCCCGACCCGGAAATCGAACCCGAGACCCTTGACCGGCAGTCACACTTGCAACCACTCGGCCACCGAGGCAGTCATTTGTAAATAAAAATAGTTTAACAACGCTTTACTGAGTAAAGTATCAGAAGAAATTATTAGATTCAGAAGTGTTCTGAACGCTTGTAGTTTCACTTATTCTTTGAATAGACGTCAAATTATCAATTAAACAGAACCAGTGTTTAAAATGTTAATGCACTCTTCGATTAGGTATATCAAATAAATTACTTTCAATTACTTTATGAATTAGACGGCGGTAAATTTGTTGCAAGCGAAAGCCCCAATTTTCGATTTTCAAATTTCGTTAACGCCAACATTTCGACCAATCGCCGCGGTCTAACGGTTTCTTACGCCCCGCCCACAACCCTGCGTACGCGCAGGCAGCACGAATTTTGCATTCACTACTCAGTACTCACTCGGTGACTACGCGCACTGCAACTGCAAGGCACAAGGCAAGGTACAAAGGAATAAAAATTAAGATAGCAATGGATCCACTAAGAGACTCAGACAATTTGAACGAGGTATGTCTCATTTATTTTTACAATAAATGTTTTAGTAAAATTGAAAGATGTATCTAAACCTATATTTTTATTTTATCAGGAGCAGCCACGCGAGAGTCAGGAACCAGAGCCATCCTCATCAACGGGCTCTAAAGGAACCAGACCAAAGCGTGGGAGACCCCGTGGTGCAAATCGCACCCCACTGTCTTTGGTTTGTACAAATAATAACAGGCTGTGCCATGTTTTTTCTACATATAGCACTTTTCTACAGTTTTTTTTGTAAGTATATAGAGGTAGATTGATAAACCACATTTACATGTTTACAGGAGGAAAAGCGCGCCAGGAACGCTCAATATGAGCGTGAAAGGCGAGAGGAGTTGGCGAAAGCCCAGTGCGAACTGGCAGAGGCCGCAGGATGCGACACTAATGTACGTTTACGAAACCTGAAATGATTGCGAGTAAGATGAGCCGACTTTATTGTGTTATGTTTTGTCTCATTTTTATTTCTTTTTGTAGATATCGCCGGCCAACTTAATGATTCATGTAATCATGCGATTGAAATCTAGAAGAAAGAGAAAGTATAAGAGACCTTAAACGCGTAAATAGAAAATTAAAGAAAAAAAGTAAGTGTAAAACTAAAAATTCTTGAAATAATAAATTAATAGTGTTTGTACGAGTATTTACTTATCTAATTTTGTTTTTTTTGTAGTAAAAAAGCTGGAGTCGGCCCGCGACCAGGAACAACAAGTCGCGCCATCACCACCGCAGCCAGGTACGACATTTTAGCGAGACTTATTAGATTGGTATTGGAGTAAACGATAATAATAAGAATAGGCTTTGCGGTTATTATATTCGTTGCTTACTGTGTTTAATTTGGTCGCACTTGTAACACACAATTAACTAGTGTTGAATTTTTTAGTAGCCGAGCAGGAGCCCGACATTCAGCCTCGACCACCATTGCCATCCTGGTATGCCATGGCATTACCATCGTTCGAGGCTGAAAAGTGTCCAGATGTTTTGTGTAAGTATTAAATTTGTATTGGAGTAACTATGTTTATTTTGGTCGCGTTTGTAACACACAATTAACCTGTGTTGAATTTTTAGTAGCAGAGCAGGAACCCGACGAGACTGCGTCTCCATCGACATTGCCAGACCAGACAGACGCAGATTTGTCAGACCTTTTGTGTAAGTATTAATTTTGTATTGGAGCAACTATGTTTAGTTTGGTCGCATTTGTAACACACAATTAACTTGTGTTGAATTTTTGCACCATTGCAACTACCACCGCAACTAGATTTAAGTTTATTATTCTGTGAATATTAGATTCGTATTTGTGCGGCGTTTCTATATAGTGCTAATCATATTTTGATTGCATTTTCAACATACAACTTATCTGTTATTGTATTTTTTTCTACTCAGCTCAAGAAGATTTTGAGAAAATTTTTGAAGCTCTGGATAATGGATGGATGGACTCCTGGCAGAAGACTCCTGACTCATAAATAAATAAAATTTAAAAATAATTTTACATTTTTTATTTTTTGCTTCGACACAAACGTAGTTTGACGAGATTAAACTTCGAAGTAGTATTGCCTCCAAGTCATTTCTTTATTTTAATTACAAATATTCCAAGTACGTTATTTAAAATTACCAAACACGTTAAATGTAATATGCCCAGTAACCAATGTAACAATGTGTTTTCAATGTCATTAATTTTCAATCAGAAGAAATAAATGATGTCCTGATTAGATTATTCACCCAATGTTACCTTTCTATGCCCCCTGACAACTATATAATAGCTCAATGAGACAGTGTGTTTATGATCCCAAACTACTCTCCAGCGACGATGTATATTAAATTAATAAATTTCTATTCTTACAGTTTGTTTGAGGCAATTCGTAAATATAAGAGAGTCTCCCTATGCATGTAATTTTAAAAATTGCTGAATGTGTTCTCTCATAAATAATTTTAGTTTTAACAGAGTACTAAGTAGTAAGGTTGCTTTTGAGACATTGATAATGGCGCCGTTTTTCTTTTTACATAATATTAATTAACGACTATTATCATCTAAAGTCCTAGTGCCTTGTTTGTGGAAGAATCATGATTGGGCTCGATATTGCGGTAATAGTGCTTATTTGTCGAGACGTCGTCTAAGTCTGGGGTATCCGTGCATTCGTATGGGCTATAATAAATTATTAAACAATGTTTTAGTATTTTCTTTTCCATATTGAACCAATATTTATCATTTGTTTGAGCCTCTTTTAAGTAGATGTTAGTTCAAGTTTGTGCCGATCATTGTTTCAGAAATATAGAATTAAGTAATACTTAATCATATTTTCTGTAAAACTGTTTGGAATTTACTCATTTGTAGAGAATCGTAAATTCTTGACAGAGATGCGCAACCGTTCAGTTAACAATAGTACTCAGTAAAACCTGGTTCTGAGTTAACCTTCGTGTGACCACATAAAGGAATGTATTAATAAACTTTACTTTTCACTACTGTACTTTTTTAGACGACAACTGTTTCTGAAATAAAGTCATAGATTGCTAAACGGTCATCTATTTCATAGAGTAAGAGTTCAAATAACTATAAATTTTCAACTACACCATGAATACTACACGGGTTAGTGATGTCGCATGTTATTATTATTATATGTTGGTGATTCAATTTGCAGTCTACACGTACGCCTCTACCAATGACGTAACGATCGCATTGTCGCACTGACCGCTATAGTGTTCAATAATTATGTCAACAGCAACTAACTACCAGAGTCAATATCCCATGGGTCTAACTTCTAGTCTATCCTGTTTTCGGCACTCGCTGCTTACACTACGGCGACGATGTAGATGCGGTAGGGTGTCCGTTTCTTCGTAGTTTTAGTTTAGTAGTTTAGTTTTAAGTAAAATCATAGGTAAAATTTGGAACGCAATACTATAATAGATATAAGAAGTCAACTTTGACATCTTCCGAGCTTTACTCGCTGTTATTTTAGTCAACGATGTGTCCTCAATGTTAAACCTAGCTAGATCGATTTATCGCACCCGAACCCCCAAATACAACATTTCAAGAAAATCGTTGAAGCTGTTTCCGAAATCGTTAATACATACACATACTATATACTAGATTTACTCGTTAATTGGTATTTGATTATGTGTGTACATCCACGTAAAAACTCCATACTAAGGGATTCCTAATTTACAAACAAATCGTAAATATTGGTTCAATAAGGAAATACTTAAACATTGTTTAATCTGTTTATTAAAGCCTATACGGGTGCACGGACACCCCCAGAGTGAGCAGACGTCTCGACAAATAAGCATTATTATCGCAATATCGAGCCCAATCATAATACTTCTACAAACAAGGCGCTAGGACTTTAGATGATAATACCTCATTAATTATTATTATGTAAAAAGAAAAACGGCGCCATTATCAACTTCTCAACAGCAACCTTACTACTTAGTACTCTATTTAAGAGATACCTACTCTGTTTAATTATTTAAGAATACATTCAGCAATTTTTAAAATTACATGCATAGGGAGGCTCTCTTATATTTACGAATTACCTCAAATAAACTGTAAAAATAGAAGTTTATTAAATTAATATACATAGTCGCTAGAGAGTAGTTTGGGACCATGAACACACTGTCTAATTGAACTATTTGTATAGTCATCAGGGGGCCTAGAAAGGTAACATTGGGTGAATTTTTTTTAATATGATTCATTCGATGGATTGTAGGAGAATCGTCTAATCAGGACATCGTTTATTTCTTCTGATTGAAAATTAATGACATTGAAAACACATTGTTTACTGGGCATATTACATATAACGTGTTCGGTAATCGTTTTTTGTAATTAAAACAAAGAAATGTCTTGCAGGCAATACTACTTTGTAGTTTAATCTCATCAAACTACGTTTGTGTCGAGGTAAAAAATAAAAAATGTATAAATTAATTAATTTTTTTATTTATATCTCGGGAGCCTTAGGAACGTCTTCTGCTGGGAGTCTTGAATTTTGTATTTCATCAATTGCTCCGTAGATTTTTTCCAAGTCCTCTTGAGCTGAGTAGAAAAAAATACAATAACAGATAAGTTGTATGTTGCAAATGCAATCAAAATATGATTAGCATTATATAGAAACGCCACACAAATACGAATCTAATACTCACAGAACAATGAACTTAAATCTAGTTGCGGTGGTAGGTGCAATAATGGTGGCGACGGGGGCTCCTGCTCTGCTACTAAAAAAATCAACACAAGTTAATTGTGTGTTACAAATACGACCAAACTATGTTTAGTTTGAATCATCAATAGCCTGTAGTGTAAAGACCTTCAAAAAACTTGGTTCAGCCGTCCCAGTGGTTCAGCCGTCGTAAGGCACGTCATAAAACAATAAATACTCCTTAAAACATTTAGGAATGCTCGTATTTTAGCAATTTGTATTGTGAAAGGATTGGGATTATAAGCCGACCTACTCTTTACAGATGTATAATAATGACTCCTATAATAATATCAATACTGCAAAGCTTTGTAAAAAAAGGCTGTTTTCATTCATTTGCAACCTGTTTTTTTAAAGAGATATTTGGCAAAGAAATATTATTTAATATTTAAACAATATTTTCTTTAATACTATAAACCATTTTAACGAGTTAAGTATTGAATAAAAAGAATTGAAAGTAAAAAGAAACCAAATCTACCTTTATCTCTTTTAAATAATAACTCTTTTAGAAATATAGTTGACTGTTTCTTACAGATATAGAACTTTTGCATCGACACAACTATATCTACAGGTGAAATTAGGTCTTACTCAACCCTTATTCGATAGGAATAAAATGATTCGTAACATTATATACATACATAAACGTAAAAAAGGCATTTAGTAAAACAAACCATGATATAACATCACGCCTTTTATCTCCGAAGAGTTGATGAAATAACAGTATGAACATCAGTAAAGTACAAGGCTACGGTGCGCCGTAGCACAAGTGCTACGCCGTAGCAGATGTAAGCGCATGGCGTAGCCGTTTGGCTACGATCGTTTTTTGACGCATCTTGTGGCTATGATATTATTTGCGAAATCATTTTCAGCTACATGCTACATCAGAACCATTAACAGAGCCAAGTTCTCACGGGTCACAAAAATATTCGAATAACATCTTTGAAATTACGAAAACAAAACATAATAGCAATCCTAACGGCGCCCAGTTGTCTATAAATATTTCATAGAAACTATTAACAGTCTCTATTGTGCTGTCTTATCTCTGGCTCGCTCTTTTGTATTGTTCCATAAAAAGAACAACTGCTTTGGAAATTATCTTTTTACTTCGTGTTAAAATACCACGTAGCGTTGTTCTTTACCTTCAGTCTTATTAAGTTTACATAAACGCATGGCATTTAACAACTACTTATGAGTACAAAGCCAATAAGAAGGAAACAAAGAAAGTATGAAACAAGAAATAATTGATTTATCACTCATTAGAATAATAACAAGTTGTAACCAATTATAACTATAATGTGCGCATTCGTAATATCATATAATGTAATTGTGATTGTGTAATGTGTAATTTAGTATAAAAGCCATAAATTTATTAAGTGTATATTAAAATAGTTTTACAACGCTTTTTTGAGCAAAGTATCAGAAGAAATTATAAGATTGGAATTGAAGAAATTATAGAGCAGCCGTATAATAGGGCTACGGTGCGTCGTAGCACAAATGCTACGCCGTAGCAGGTGTAAGAGGACGGCGTAGCCGTTAGGTTACAATAGCGCATGGCATAGCTTATAAATAGTCAATGATGCGACCCACGATGGAGCACGCCTGCTTTTAAGCAACATTAACTCAGGCCTTGAAGAAATACTTGATAGATCAAGTAATTATTTCTTTGTTAATTAACAATTATTACCAAAAGAATTCGATATATCCACTGCTCTCAAAGGAGATGAAGTGTGAGCGCCACCTTCGCACCCGAAACGTCATCGTGCGTACGTGCGACCGGTCATGTAGGCCACATACCGCTTAAATCCGTCGTCATTTTGGTATTGGAATTTCCTCTATAAAGTCTTGTTCTTGCATATCAGAAGCTGTTTGTCACTTGTTGAACACTCCTTGTCTATTTTCTGTATTCGTCAATATACTTGGTCTGCTCTCTAGGTGTCACAGATTCGTATTATCGAAAAGAGGGATCATCGAAAACGTCTTAAAGGCCGAGTGCATAGTTTGCTTATGGTAGACGTGCTCCATCTTAGCCCGCATTGTCGCTTACCACCAGGCGAGATAGTGGCCAAACGTCGATCCATTTTATAATAATGTACATATAATAAAAATAAATAATAATAAATTTTTATTCATAATAACACTGGTCAACATAGGTACAAAAATATCTTAATTAAGCGACAAGATCTCAAAAATAATATGCCTATACTACTAGGAATATTCCTGTGTCACAGGCGATAGTAGCTCTAAAAATATGTTAATGATAAGGCAACTTATTTATAGTATATTTAAAATATTTCACACAATTTTCAGAAGTAAGGTAGGATTGTTTAATATACTATAACACTACATACATATGATAATAACATAACGCTTTTTATTCCCTGAAGGAGAAGTAAAAGTTGAACCTACGTAATACATTAATATAACTATTACATTACATTATTTAAATTAACGTCGTAAGCTATATTTATATATAAACTAGATAATATTAAATGTTACTATGCTATCAATTATTTTTGAATATCTGCAGAAACACAAAAAGAAAACTAGGTCAGAGTCCATACGATCACTCACTTGTTGTTACAGTTAGATCAAATGTGCTTGGACAGCAATAAATTTTTAGGTAAGTCAACCTGTTGATATGCAATTGTTATACAAGTGAACTAAACTAAACGAAATGACTAATCGAATTGGAATTCCGCCTTCGAGTATTTCACTTTATGCGCCATCATAATCGATGGAATTAATATATCTATGTTCGGCTATCTTCCTGGCTGGGCACTCTGCGTCTCCTGTCTTGTGACTGTTGGGCTAGTTAAAGCGAGAGCATGTGGTACATTTAGGGAAGTCGATTGTCTTTGTGCAAACGGATGTCATGTGTCCTGCTTTTCCACAATGGCCACACACTGAGTAGAGCTCCCGGCATGTCTTTGCCGCGTGGCCATACTGCTGACATTTATAGCAACGCGTTACTAACGTAAAGTCTCTGACAGGGCAAGACATCCACTTTATATACAGTCTCTCTTGCGATATAAGCGCTTTACGGATGTTAGCCGGAACTTCAATGATGTAATTACAACTCGGCGCGTCTTTTTTGTCAGATTTGTGACTAAACTTCACAGTGGTTAGGAAAGACTCTATAGTCGACTCTTGGAACTTACCAGCTATGTTTCGGTCAAATATGCACCTGAAAACACCAGCATCGGATAAAGCAGACGGCACTCCTACGACTGTGATTTTTTGTTTTCGTTTTTTTGCTTCATCGGCAATAAGTCCAGATGATGAGTGCTTCTTTAACTTTCTTAGCATCTTCTTTGGACTCAGTACTGATTATAACGCCTCCGTTGTGGATTTTACGAACACCACGCATATGTAGCTGCAATTGGTCAGGGCGTATGATTTTTTGCACAAGAGATTTTGTTTCATCACTAGATTTTGATTTATTTGCTGGGTAAATTGCAATAATTTGTAGGTCGCACGAAGTCTTCCAAATGAAACGTTTGCTGTTGATGTTGAGTCCTTGATAGTCTGCTTGATGTCCGAAATTTGTTCCACAATGTCCTGTTTTTCTCTCATCTCATCTATAATGTTGACGGCTATGCGGGCTTGCTGCTTAAGAGCTTGGTATAAGACAGCCATTTGTTCTCACAACACAACCAATTTTTCGGCTCAGATTGGATATTTTAAGTTTTTGGTCGGAATCAAACACAAATTGGTCGACATCCAATTTTGAATATCGGGCGACGACACAGCATCTATCGAGAAGTCATAATTACGGCTGCTCTTTAATGGTGAAAAACAGGAAGCCAGCTTGCTCGGGTTTAAATCCATCTTCGAAACAACCAAGTTTGTATTTCCATTATTTATGTCACAATAAGCAGAATAATAATGTAGGTCACTATTATTGCTTTGATTCAATATTTCTAGTATGCACGTCTGTTCACATCGAACGTCAAGAATCGAATCTATACAATAAAATAACGGCGAGCACGAAAACTTTGGCGAAACACCGATATATTCTGTATACAACAAATATATGGACTATTATTGCAAATAAAAAATAAAATATTACTTATTAGTAAAATGGTGAACAGATCCACGGATACTGATGGTAAACTACTACCAAGCATCACGATGTCTTGATATAGTCAATTGGAAACATTCTTCGCATTTCTAAGTGATTTTCATAATCATTGGATAGCAACATTCCAACATTTCGACAGAACTAAGTTTCCACGGCTCGCTCAGGTAGGTATAACATTCTTTTGTCAAAGCAGTTTCAAGGCGTTCGCGTTCGCTTGGATAACAAAGTGGAAACAAAGCATAGTAAGTAATCTTAATTACGCCCGCATGTTTTGTAATAGTCGTCCGGACGTGCGCAGGTCACGTAAGCAGTTAGTGGCAAACAATTTTGAAGTTCGTCTACAGAATCTGGTTCTGACATATCAGAAGCTGTTCACAGAACACTCTTTTTTGGAGGTCTCTGTCCGACAACATTTCCGACGAATGCTGCTCATGCTCTCAATGAATCTTGAGTAGACGGCCGATGGTTGGATGGGTGGTTTAACAAGAAATCCTCGCTGATTTTTGTTGTGACCTAGTGGATAATATATGAAGTTTCCAGGTGCACTTTGGGTACAATAGAATAAATTTAAGTGAGACCAAATAAATTGTTCGAAACGGAGTTTTTCGCTGAAAAATATGTTGATGTGTCGAGGTTGAGAAATAACGTGAAAAAAGGTAAACCATATTGAAATCCTAATTAGATGAACCAACTTCGGTGAAATTTGCAAATACTTTGTTCGTCAAAAAAATTTTTTTTTCTAAAGAGCTAAAGGTTAAAATTCATGATTCCATAATACTGTAGCACTATTCGGGATAACGTAAGTAAAAATACAGACGAAAAATAAAGAATTGTAGCAACAAGAGTCAATAGACTGGGACAGAGTGTACTTTTTCGTGGATAACACATAAGTTAATGTAATTTAATAACTGGACTATTACTTGGATTTTGTGTGTATGTGTTGAATAAGGTGTGACGTTGCCAGACGTTTCGTTTCGAACGGGACCGTCCTTTTTTATAATTACGAGTCCCGTTGTCCCCGAAATGACCCTGGGTGCAACATAATCATTGCTTGTTCCGATTTCGTAAATCACGACAAAATTTGAACAGCCGAACCAATATCACGACCGTTCGAACGAAAAGCGATACGGCGTCATACATACCTTGCTAATTTTTGAAGTCGAAAAATCTTTAAGTAAGTATTTACTTGAATTTTTGTGCTGTAAAGTAATGTTAACCTTCTTGCTATCGGCACAAAGTTTGTGTTTACATGTTCCATAATAGGATCTATCTACAAGATGCCTCACTAAGTCTAAATGAATAAATGCCCCTGTTTCGAGTCAAAATATAAATGTTCACGTTAGAAATCGAAACAAAGCATAGCAATCTTAATTACAACCCCATATCTCGAAACAGTTCATAGAACTAGTGGTAGTCACCGTTGTATTGTCACACGACCAACCCATACCAGACCTACCCTTCGGTTCCTTCATTTCATTTCATATACGTAATATCTTCCCTTACTTGTCGTAATGTGTATGTTATTTGTCAGCTATTCATTCTTAGTAATGAAATGATATTAATTGTTCCCGAACGCAGCACAGACTGGGGTTTTCTCAAAGTCCACTACCTCACTGCAGTACTGGACGTGTTGGGTGGTATCTAGGAACGTTGTACGGAGCCTAACTGGCCGGCGCGTAGACCGGCAACTCTTTTTAGTTTTACATGAACTTCCAACGATATCGGTACATATGTATGTACTACTACCAGCAATAACTAATTCTAAATCTAACCTAACTATATCCATAAACTATCTCACAGCCGACTAGCTTAGACTGCCCCTTGACGAATGACCTACTAATGTACGCCCGGTTAGGTCGGAACTGCGACCCACACAGAAATGGACTCGCCACCAGAATTATACTGCGATATAATCATAATTATATTATTAAACAGGCTACGCCGTCTATTCATGCAGGTTGGTTGGCTGCGAATTTCATTACATGTTGAGTACAATACAATACCTACATAAAGTGTAAATAAAAAATCAGCTTTATCACTCTTTTTACTTCGTATTTTTACGTAAATTACTGTTTGAATGAAGGAGTAGCGATCTCCTGGAGTTTGATTGTAAAAAATAAAATAAACTAATATATTATGTAAACAATAAAATAATTACTTTTACTTTATAAATTAGTCGGCGGTTGCTCTATGTGCAAATACCACGATTCCTGTAATTTCGTTATCATCAACTTCACCGCAAACAATGGGACCATTTCCACCAATCACAGTGTTCTAACGGTTTACTACCCCCACCCCTAACCCCATCCGCAACCCTGCGTACGCGCAGACAGCACGAATTTTGCATTCAGTACTCAGTACCTACTACTTAGTTAGTGACCGAGACGTGCACACCACTGCAACTGCAAGGCGTTCTGCTTCAGATTACAATCGTGATGGAACCAGGAAAAGCTTTGAAGAATTTGAAGGAGGTAAGTCTCATTTATTTGTAATGTTGATATTTTTTTTTGTCAATTTAGTGCTGTCTCTAACCCGATTTTTATTATTTTCTCAGGACCAGAGCCAGAAACGAGAGCCTTCAACATCTACAGGCTCTAAAACATCCAGACCGAGGCGTGGAAGGCCTGCCGGTGCAAACCGGACCCCTCTGTCCTTGGTTCGTATGAAACAAATGTCACAAGTAATATACATTTTAAGTTATCTTTGGGACTGAACAATATATTAATAATAATAATGAACTTCACCTACAGGAAGAAAGGCGCGCTAGGAACGCTCAGTATGAGCGTGAAAGGCGAGAGGACTTGGGCAAAGCTCACTCGGAGCTAGCAGAGGCCGCGGGCTGTGATCCTAATGTAAGTTTACAAAACTCGAGTTTAAGGTGAACCGCCGACTTTATTGTTATTTTACGATGCGTTATGTCTCATTTTGATTTCTTTTTGTAGATATCGACGGCCGACTTGATGACACTCGTCATCACAAAAATACAGGAGACGATTCCAGCAGAACACTATAGGCTGGCTAATTTAGATCTGGAGGCACAAAGTAAGTGTAAAACCAAACATTATTACCATAACCATTCAATTTATTGTGTTTGTTCGAGTAAACAAATTCTTTAACATGAATGTGTGTCTTGTTACAGTTGCCAAATGTATCGAGCAGTTGCCCCCAGATTATATTGTAAGCGATGATGACGAGGAGATGCAGTCGGAAGAGCCCAATGTAAGATACGCTCACTTTATTCATTTGCCATACGCCGCGGCGTAGGCAGTTAGCGCACACTTGATAGTACAGTTGCTGAAAGATTATTAATACATTAATTTCTTTTAAATTACAGACTCGAAAACGAAAACCATCACATGATACGTTTAGTGCTGAGAAACGTATGCGAGTCGGTGAGAAGCAAATGTCAGCAGTGAGTTATATAATATCGCCTGCTGACCTTGCCGAAGCCGGACCCTCCTACATACACACTATGACTGAACGAAATTACGACTTGGAAGACCTAGATGCTTTCTGTGAGTATGAGATTTGTATTTGAGCAATTGACTATAATCATGTTATGACTTTGTGGCTTACTTTGTCTATTTTGGTTACATTTGTAACATATAACTAACTAGTCTTATATGTTTGTAGTAGCCGAACAGCTGTCATCAAGTAACACCCAGTTACCACCGGTAGTGCCATCAGTGGCATTACCATCAACATCACTACCTCCACTATCGGCGTCGCGACAGCTAGAGCTTTTGTGTAAGTACCTATTAGATTTGTATTAGAGTAGCTATGTCTATTTTGGTTGCATTTGTAACACACAACTAACTAGTGTTGTATCTTTGTAGTTGCACGGCCAGAGCCGACAACCAACCCACCGATGTCTCCACTGGCGACGCCGCGGCGACGAAATTACGAGTGGCAAGACGTAGACGCTTTCTGTGAGTATTACATTTATATTTGAGCAACTGATCATTATAATGGCTTTGTGGCCATCTTATGCGTAGATTACTTTGTCTATTTCGGTTACATTTGTAACATACAACTAACCAGTCTTATATTTTTGTAGTGGCCGAACAGCTGTCCTCGTTTAACGCCGAGGCACCACCGGTAGTGCCATCAGTGGCATTACCACCTAACCCACCGATGACACCACTGGCGACGCCACGGCCACGTAATTACGAATGGGAAGACGTCGACGCTTTCTGTGAGTATTACATTATTTATATGTGAGCAACTGATTATAATAATGGCGTTGTGGCCATCTTATGCGTAGCTTAAGTACTTTGTCTATTTTGGTTACATTTATAACATGCAACTAACTAGTCTTATATTTTTGTAGTGGCAGAACAGCTGTCGTGACGAAACGCACAGCATCGGCATCAGCATCAGAATCAGCATCAGCTTCAGCATCGCTACAGCTATAGTTGCCGTTCAAGCGAGAATTAGATCATCAATATCCGTTCTATAAGTATTAGATATGTATTGGAGTAGCTATGTCTATTTTGGTTGCATTTGTAACACACAACTAACTAGTGTTGTATCTTTGTAGATGCACGGCCAGAGGCGACACCTTACCCACCGATGACACCACTGGAGACGCCACTGCTACGAAATTACGACTGGGAAGACTTAGATAATTTCTGTGAGTATTACATTTATATGTGAGCAACTGATTACAATAATGGCTTTGTGGCCATCTTATGCGTAGCTTTCCTTGTCTATTTTGGTTACATTTATAACATGCAACTAACTAGTCTTATATTTTTGTAGTGGCAGAACAGCTGTCGTGACAAAACGCTCAGCATCATCACCATCACCATCAGCGTCGCTACAGCTAAAGTTGCCGTTCAAGCGAGAAATAGATCATCAAGATCCGTTCTATAAGTAGTAGATAGTATTGGAGTAGCTATGTCTATTTTGGTTGCATTTGTAACACACAACTAACTAGTGTTGTATCTTTGTAGATGCACGGCCAGAGGCGACACCTTACCCACCGATGACACCACTGGCGATGCCACTGCTACGAAATTACGACTGGGAAGACTTAGATAATTTCTGTGAGTATTACATTTATATTTGAGCAACTGATTACAATAATGGCTTTGTGGCCGTCTTATGTGTAGCTTACTTTGTCTATTTTAATTACATTTATAACATACAACTAACTAGTCTTATATTTTTGCAGTGGCAGAACTGCAGCTGTCATGACGAAACGCCCAGCATCATCACCATCACCATCGGCGTCGCTACAGCTAGAGTTGCCGTTCGAGCGAGAAATAGATCATCAAGATCCGTTCTATAAGTATTAGATATGTATTGGAGTAGCTATGTCTATTTTGGTTGCATTTGTAACACACAACTAACTAGTGTTGTATCTTTGTAGATGCACGGCCAGAGGCGACACCTAACCCACCGATGACACCACTGGCGACGCCACTGCTACGAAATTACGACTGGGAAGACGTAGACGCTTTCTGTGAGTATTACATTTATATTTGAGCAACTGATTACAATAATGGCTTTGTGGCCATCTTATGCGTAGATTACTTTGTCTATTTTGGTTACATTTGTAATATACAACTAACCACTATTATATTTTTGTAGTGGCCGAACAGCTGTCCTCATTTAACGCCGAGTCACCATCGGTAGTGCCATCAGTGGCATTACCACCTAACCCACCGATGACACTACTGGAGACGCCACGGCCACAATACGATACGACACTATAGTTAATAGTGTCGTATCGTATAAAACGACTCGTAACATGACATGGCATGTAGTAAAAACTACATAGTTGCGTTTAGGGTAAACGCGATCTAAAAATGGTTGTAACTGTAACGAGTACGAAACGATGAAACAACAGTATGAACAGCAGTAAAGTACAGGGCTACGGTGCACCGTAGCACGAGTGATACGCCGTAGCAGATGTAAGAGGACGGCGTAGCCGTTAGGTTACAATAGCGCGTAGATTCGTATTATCGAAAAGAGGAATCGCCTGAAACGTGGGTGTCTCCAAGACCCGAGCGAATAGTTTGCTTATGGGCAGACGTGCTCCATCTTAGCCCGCATCATCGCTTACCACCAGGCGAGTACAATAGAATAACGGCGAGCACGAAAACTATAGCGAAACACCGAAAATATTCTTTCTATAGACTACAATTAATACATGAACTATTATTGCAAATAAAATTTAAAATACTACTTATTGGTAAAATGGTGAACAGATCCACGGATACTGATGGTAAACTACTACCAAGCATCACGATGTCTTGATATGGTCAATTGGAAACATTCTTCGCATTTCTAAGTGATTTTCATAATCATTGGATAGCAACATTCCAACATTTCGACAGAACTAAGTTTCCACGGCTCGCTCAGGTAGGTATAACATTCTATTGTCAAAGCAGTTTCAAGGCGTTCGCGTTCGCTTGGATAACAAAGTGAAAACAAAGCATAGTAACTAATCTTAATTACGCCCGCATATTTTGTAACAGTCGTGCGGACGTAAGACAGGTCACGTAAGCAGTTAGTGGCAAACAATTTTGATATTGGAAGTTCGTCTACAAAATCTGGTTCTGACATATCAGAAGCTGTTGAACACTCTTTTTTGAAGGTCTCTGTCCGACAATATTTCCGACGAATGCTGCTCATGTTACAATAGAATAAATTTTAGTAAGACCAAATAAATTGTTCGAAACGGAAATTTTCGCTGAAAAATATATTTTTGGTGTCGACGTTAAGAAATAACGTGAAAAGTGGTAAACCATTTTAAAATCCTAATTAGATGGACCAACTTCGGTGAAATTTGTAAATTCTTGGTCCGTCAATAAATTACATTATTTCCAAAGAGCTAAAGCCATTGGGTCAGAATTCATGATTCCATAATACTGTACACTATTCGGGATAAGGTAAGTAAAAACACGGACGAAAAATAAAGAATTGTAGCAACAAGAGTCAAAAGACTGGGACAGAGTGTACTTTTTCCTGGATAACACATAAGTTAATGTAATTAATTAATAACTGGACTATGACTTGGATTTTGTGTGTATGTGTAACGTTGCCAGACGTTCCGTTTTGAACGGGACCGTCCATTTTAATAATTACTTAGCAATGACTCTGGGTGCAACATACATCACGACCGTTCGAACGAAGAGCGATACGGCGTCATACTTCTTCTTCTTCATATAGTGCCTCTTCAATGTTGAAGGTCGGCCGTCAGCTTCTTGTATTTCTCCTTGTCGGTAGCCATGCGGAACAATTGTTCGACAGATGTAATGCCGGTCCACTCCCGGATGTTTCGCAGCCACGATTTTCTTCTGCGCCCAGCACGTCTCTTCCCCTCCACTTTGCCCATCATGATCAGTTGAAGCAGTGAATATCTATCGTGTCTAAGCACGTGACCGAGATATTCGATTTTTCGCTTTTTGATGGTCAGCATAATTTTCCGGGTCATTTGGACGCGCTGTAGCACGGATTCGTTGCTGACCCTTTGTGTCCAGCTGATTCGGAGCATACGACGGTAACACCACATCTCGAATGCGTTTATACGTCTCGCAGTGTCCTCCTTCACGGTCCATGCTTCACATCCGCACATGACTAGAGGCCAGATGTAGCAGAAGAGTAACCTAACTCTGAGCTTAATGTTTATTTGACGACAACACAGAACTTTCCTCATTTTGTTAAAAGATGCTCGGGCAATTTCTATCCGGGTCTTAATTTCTTGATCTGATTCCCATACTTCATTTACCCAAGCACCGAGATACTTGTATTGTCGTACTCGTTCGAGTGGTTTGCCATCTATGTTTATAATTGGGTCAAGATCAGGATTTTTGGAGACAACCATCAACTTGGTTTTACTGATGTTAATAGACAGACCGGCTTTCTCGCTTGTCTCGTTGACTTTATTTACAATTGTCTGTAAGTCACGTTCCGAAGCAGCAACAAGAACCGTGTCATCTGCATATCTCAAGTTGTTTACCAGCGTGCCATTAATCTTTACTCCAGCATCGAGGTTTTCTAAAGCTTCAGACATCACGGCCTCTGAGTAAATATTGAAGAGCATCGGCGAAAGAACACAACCTTGTCGAACTCCGCGACAGATCTCAACCGGCTCGGTGTCTTCATTTTCTACTCTTATTGTTGCTACTTGTTTGTCGTATAGATTGCGGATTATCCTGACGTCTTTGCCATCCAGCCCAATATCTGACAGGTGGCTGATAAGTTGTTGGTGTTTGACACGGTCGAAAGCTTTTTCATAGTCGATGAAGCAAAGAAATACGTCAGTCTGCATGTCTCTGCACTTCTGTACGAGAACATTGAGAGCAAATAGAGCTTCCCTGGTTCCGACACCGGAGCGAAATCCGAACTGGCTGTTTCCCAAATGTTTGTCACATTTTGGTCTTATTCTGTTCTGTATGATGTTTAAGAACACTTTTAGTACATGGCTCATAAGACTAATCATACGATATTCTCCACATTTTCTAGCATTTTGCTTTTTGGGTATTGTAATAAACGTTGATTTTAGCCAGTCATCTGGAAAAATGCCAGTGTCGTAAACATAATTGAAGAACTGTGTCAGCGTTTCCAATTGATCTTCCTCCAATAGTTTGAGGATCTCGATGGGTATGTTGTCTGGTCCGAGTGATTTGCCTGTTTTGGCTGAATTCAACGCACGCTGAACCTCTGATTTTAAAATCGAAGGACCAGTATTATCTGTACTTATAGCCATATTCCTTGAATAATCAGCAAACATCTCCGAAACGTAATCACACCATTGTTTTCTCTTACTATCGGGGTCCAGAATCAGATTTCCACCTTTATCTGTCAAGGTATTAATAGGTTTACGTCTTTGACCCACCATTTCTTTGATATGCTTATGGGCATTAAAGCTGTCATGTTTGCGGAGGAGATCTTCCATATGTGCGCATTTATTACTATAATAGGTGTTCTTAGCCTTTCTGATCTCTCTCTGAATGGTGTCATCGGTTTCCTTATATCTGTCTGGATTTGTGTTCTCGACGGCGTCATACATACCTTGCTAATTTTTGAAGTCGAAAAATCTTTAAGTAAGTATTTACTTGAATTTTTGTGCTGTAAAGTCATTACTAATGTTAACCTTCTTGATGTCGGCACAAAGTTCGTGTTTACATGTTCCATAATAGGATCTATCTACTAGATGCCTCACTAAGTCTAAATAAACGAATGTCCCGTTTCGAGTCAAAATATAAATGGTCACGTTAGAAATCGAAACAAAGCATAGCAATCTTAATCACAACCCCATATCTCGAAACAGTTCATAGAACTAGTGGTAGTCACCGTTGTATTGTCTTATCTCTCACTCGACCAACCCATACCAGACCTATATCCTTCGGTTCCTTCATTTCATTTCATATACGTAATATCTTCCCTTACTTGCCGTAATGTGTATGTTATTTGTCAGCTATTAGTTCTTAGTAATGAAATGATATTAATTGTTCCCGAACGCAGCACAGACTGGGGTTTTCTCAAAGTCCACTACCTCACTGCAGTACTGGACGTGTTGGGTGGTATCTAGGAACGTTGTACGGAGCCTAACTGGCCGGCGCGTAGATACCGGCAACTCTTTTTAGTTTTACATGAATTTCTAACGATATCGGTACATATGTACTACTACCAGCAACAACGAATTCTAAATCTAACCTAACTATATCCATATACTATCTCACAGCCGACTAGCTTAGACTGCCCCTTGACGAATGGCCTACTAATGTACGCCCGGTTAGGTCGGAACTGCGACCCACACAGAAATGAACTCGCCACCAGAATTATACTGCGATATAATCATAATTACATATATTATTAAACAGGCTACGCCGTCTATTCATGCAGGTTGGTTGGCTGCGAATTTCATTACATGTTGAGTACAATACAATACCTACATAAAGTGTAAATAAAAAATCAGCTTTATCACTGTTTTTACTTCGTATTTTTACGTAAATTACTGTTTGAATGAAGGAGTAGCGATCTCCTGGAGTTTGATTGTAAAAAATAAAATAGACCAATATATTATGTAAACAATAAAATAATTACTTTAACTTTATAAATTAGTCGGCGGTTGCTCTATGTGCAAATACCACGATTCCTGTAATTTCGTTATCATCAACTTCATCGCAAACAATGGGACCATTTCCACCAATCACAGTGTTCTAACGGTTTACTACCCCCACCCCTAGCCCCATCCGCAACCCTGCGTACGCGCAGACGGCACGTATTTTGCATTCAGTACTCAGTACCTACTACTCAGTTAGTGACCGAGACGTGCACACCACTGCAACTGCAAGGCGTTCTGCTTCAGATTACAATCGTGATGGAACCAGGAAAGGCTTCGAATAATTTGAAGGAGGTAAGTCTCATTTATTTGTAATGTTGATGTTTTTTTTTGTCAATTTAGTGCTGTCTCTAAACCGATTTTTATTATTTTCTCAGGACCAGAGCCAGAAACGAGAGCCTTCAACATCTACAGGCTCTAAAACATCCAGACCGAGGCGTGGCAGGCCTGCCGGTGCAAACCGGACCCCTCTGTCCTTGGTTCGTATGAAACAAATGTCACAAGTAATATACATTTTAAGTTATCTTTGGGACTGAACAATATATTAATAATGAACTTCACCTACAGGAAGAAAGGCGCGCTAGGAACGCTCAGTATGAGCGTGAAAGGCGAGAGGACTTGGCCAAAGCTCACTCGGAGCTAGCAGAGGCCGCGGGCTGTGATCCTAATGTAAGTTTACAAAACTCGAGTTTAAGGTGCGCCGCCGACTTTATTGTTATTTTACGATGCGTTATGTCTCATTTTGATTTCTTTTTGTAGATATCGACGGACGACTTGATGACACTCGTCATCACAAAACTCCAGCAGACGATTCCTGCAGAAGACATTAGGCTGGCTAATGTAGATCTGGAGGCACAAAGTAAGTGTAAAACCAAACATTATTACCATAACCATTCAATTTATTGTGTTTGTTCGAGTAAACAAATTCCTTAACATGAGTGTGTCTTGTTACAGTTGCCAAATGTATCGAGCAGTTGCCTCCGGATTACATCGTCAGCGATGATGAAGAGGAGGTGCAGCCGGAAGAGCCCAACGTAAGATACGCTCACTTTATTCAGTTAGCGCACACTTGATAGTACACTTACTGGAAGATTATTAATACATTAATTTCTTTTAAATTACAGACTCGAAAACGGAAACCATCACATCGTGATACGTTTAGTGATGACAAACGTATGCGGCTCGGTGGGACGCAAATGCCAGCAGTGGGTTGGATGATATCGCCTGCTGACTTTGCCGAAGCCGTACCCGGACCCGGACCCGGAAATTACGAGTGGGAAGACGTAGACGCTTTCTGTGAGTATTACATTTATATTTGAGCAACTGATTTTTATAATGGCTTTGTGGCCATCTTATGCGTAGATTACTTTGTCTATTTTGGTTACATTTGTAACATACAACTAACCACTATTATATTTTTGTAGTGGCCGAACAGCTGTCCTCGTTTAACGCCGAGGCACCACCGGTAGTGCCATCAGTGGCATTACCACCTAACCCACCGATGACACCACTGGCGACACAACGGCCACGAAATTACGAGTGGGAGGACGTCGATGCTTTCTGTGAGTATTACATTTATATTTGAGCAACTGATCATTATAATGGCTTTGTGGCCATCTTATGCGTAGATTACTTTGTCTATTTTGGTTACATTTGTAACATACAACTAACCACTATTATATTTTTGTAGTGGCCGAACAGCTGTCCTCATTTAACGCCGAGTCACCACCGGTAGTGCCACCAGTGGCATTACCACCTAACCCACCGATGACACTACTGGAGACGCCACGGCCACTAAATTACGAGTGGGAAGACGTAGACGCTTTCTGTGAGTATTACATTTATATGTGAGCAACTGATTATAATAATGGCATTGTGGCCATCTTATGCGTAGCTTCCTTTGTCTATTTTGGTTACATTTATAACATGCAACTAACTAGTCTTATATTTTTGTAGTGGCAGAACAGCTGTCGTGACAAAACGCCCAGGATCATCACCATCACCATCGGCGTCGCTACAGCTAGAGTTGCCGTTCGAGCGAGAAATAGATCATCAAGATCCGTTCTATAAGTATTAGATATGTATTGGAGTAGCTATGTCTATTTTGGTTGCATTTGTAACACACAACTAACTAGTGTTGTATCTTTGTAGATGCACGGCCAGAGGCGACACCTAACCCACCGATGACACCACTGGCGACGCCACTGCTACGAAATTACGACTGGGAAGACGTAGACGCTTTCTGTGAGTATTACATTTATATTTGAGCAACTGATTACAATAATGGCTTTGTGGCCATCTTATGCGTAGATTACTTTGTCTATTTTGGTTACATTTGTAACATACAACTAACCACTATTATATTTTTGTAGTGGCCGAACAGCTGTCCTCATTTAACGCCGAGTCACCATCGGTAGTGCCATCAGTGGCATTACCACCTAACCCACCGATGACACTACTGGAGACGCCACGGCCACTAAATTACGAGTGGGAAGACGTAGACGCTTTCTGTGAGTATTACATTGATATGTGAGCAACTGATTATAATAATGGCTTTGTGGCCATCTTATGCGTAGCTTCCTTTGTCTATTTTGGTTACATTTATAACATGCAAGTAACTAGTCTTATATTTTTGTAGTGGCAGAACAGCTGTCGTGACAAAACGCCCAGCATCATCACCATCACCATCGGCGTCGCTACAGCTAGAGTTGCCGTTCGAGCGAGAAATAGATCATCAAGATCCGTTCTATAAGTATTAGATATGTATTGGAGTAGCTATGTCTATTTTGGTTGCATTTGTAACACACAACTAACTAGTGTTGTATCTTTGTAGATGCACGGCCAGAGGCGACACCTAACCCACCGATGACACCACTGGCGACGCCACTGCTACGAAATTACGACTGGGAAGACGTAGACGCTTTCTGTGAGTATTACATTTATATTTGAGCAACTGATTACAATAATGGCTTTGTGGCCATCTTATGCGTAGCTTACTATGTCTATTTTGGTTACATTTTTTAACATACAAGTAGCTAGTCTTATATTTTTGTAGTGGCAGAACAGCTGTCGTGACGAAACGCCCATCACCATCACCATCACCATCACCATCAGCATCAGCATCAGCATCAGCATCGCTACAGCTATAGTTACCGTTCGTGCGAGACATAGATCATAAAGATCTGTTCTGTAAGTATTAGATTTGTATAAGTGGAGTAGTTATGTCTATTTTGATTGCATTTGTAACACACAACTAACTAGTTTTGTATCTTCGTAGATGCACGGCCAGAGCCGACACCTAACCCGATGTGAGGTGAATAATTAAGGGATGAATGATCTCCGGCGTGTTTGTATCGGCTGCCTGGAGTAAACTACGATGTGAATGAAAAAAGGGATGAAATAACAAATAGACACTATTTAAAATTTAGTTTAAACTATTATATGTATAATTTTACTCGAAAACAGTAACTAGGCGATTAGGTCGATTTTTTGATTTCTGTAAATCATTTAGAATTTTATATTGACCACATTTTTATTATTATTATTATTTTAGTTATTTTACACATACACATACTCAGACACTGACAATTGAATGTAAAATTGAAACCAGTGGTTCAATGTATAGAAAGCGACGGCCCATTTGTCATTTTATATAGTAAATTGTGCCACGGCGGGCGTAACGATTCAGAGTAACCGTGTAGATGTCGCAGCCTAATGGCTAAAATCAATCTCACAGCTAGTACCCTAGTGCCCTTTGACTGGACGTCGTTTAGCCGACTTGTCGACTGCAACATTCAGCTGCAATACTACAGCCAGACGACGCTTACTAATGGTATAATAGCTTATTAATGGTATAATAATAGCTTTTGAATTGATTGCTACACGACCTTAGATAGCTGTTATGGTAATAATTCCCCAGAGGACTAAGGAGTAATTGTTTTAGAGCAAAGCTATGTTGCCATTTCTACAAAATAAACTACCGATTGAGTTGAGTTGTTCCGATTTAACCTTCGAGTGACAATAAAAAGTGATTCTTCAAATTGTAAAAATATCCGAAACCTGTTTCTGAAAGAAAGTCATAGATTGCTATACGATTGTCTATTTCATAGATCAACAACTACTTCAGAAATGGAATTTGACTTTTTCTTGCCGATATAGAAGTTAGAGAAGTCTCGCATCTATTCAACTATACCTATAGATGAAATTAGGTGTTACTTAACCCCAATTCGGTAAGAATAAAATGACTCGTAACATGGCATGGCATGTAGTAAAAACTACATAGTTGCGTTTAGGGTAAACGCGATCTAAAAATGGTTGTAACTGTAACGAGTACGAAACGATGAAACAACAGTATGAACAGCAGTAAAGTACAGGGCTACGGTGCACCGTAGCACGAGTGATACGCCGTAGCAGATGTAAGAGGACGGCGTAGCCGTTAGGTTACAATAGCGCGTAGATTCGTATTATCGAAAAGAGGAATCGCCTGAAACGTGGGTGTCTCCAAGACCCGAGCGAATAGTTTGCTTATGGGCAGACGTGCTCCATCTTAGCCCGCATCATCGCTTACCACCAGGCGAGTACAATAGAATAACGGCGAGCACGAAAACTATGGCGAACCGAAAATATTCTTTCTATAGACTACAATTTTATTAATCAAGAACTATTATTGCAAATAAAATTTAAAATACTACTTATTGGTAAAATGGTGGACAGATCCACGGATACTGATGGTAAACTACTACCAAGCATCACGATGTCTTGATATAGTCAATTGGAAACATTCTTCGCATTTCTAAGTGATTTTCATAATCATTGGATAGCAACATTCCAACATTTCGACAGAACTAAGTTTCCACGGCTCGCTCAGGTAGGTATACCATTCTTTTGTCAAAGCAGTTTCAAGGCGTTCGCGTTCGCTTGGATAACAAAGTGGAAACAAAGCATAGTAACTAATCTTAATTACGCCCGCATATTTTGTAACAGTCGTGCGGACGTGCGACAGGTCACGTAAGCAGTTAGTGGCAAACAATTTTGATATTGGAAGTTCGTCTACAAAATCTGGTTCTGACATATCAGAAGCTGTTGAACACTCTTTTTTGAAGGTCTCTGTCCGACAATATTTCCGACGAATGCTGCTCATGTTACAATAGAATAAATTTTAGTAAGACCAAATAAATTGTTCGAAACGGAGATTTTCGCTGAAAAATATATTTTTGTGTCGACGTTAAGAAATAACGTGAAAAGTGGTAAACCATTTTAAAATCCTAATTAGATGGACCAACTTCGGTGAAATTTGCAAATTCTTGGTCCGTCAAAAAATTACATTATTTCCAAAGAGCTAAAGCCATTGGGTTAGAATTCATGATTCCATAATACTGTACTACACTATTCGGGATAAGGTAAGTAAAAACACAGACGAAAAATAAAGAATTGTAGCAACAAGAGTCAAAAGACTGGGACAGAGTGTACTTTTTCGTGGATAACACACAAGTTAATGTATTGGATTTTGTGGATGGAATGAATTGAATGGATTTCGTGTGTTAAAAAAGTCAAAATCATTTATTTCAACTAGACCAGGATGGCACTTTTGAACGTCAAACAACAAAATTTATAAGTGAAGCTAGTTGTTCATTCCAAGGCGTAGATTCCTATGGAGAAGAACGAGCAAGAAACTTCATAGGTTACTCTTTTTCAATCAGGTTTACAATACAATTCTCTAGTTACATAGTTTTATTGGTTCGATTATGTGAGAACAATGCAACACCTAAATCCAGTCAGAAAGACTGAAAAAGAAAATAAGCTTGAGGATAATAAAATAAAATGATACAGTCTGGAGCTGACCAGTTCCAATCGACGGTGCCCGTTCACAAACATTTGGCGAACCCTAGCACCGCCCAACTCAACCATTTTGTAGGGAATCGAGCGATCCAATGCACGTGCCCTCGCCAACGAGATCTCCAAGCTGACATAAATGCAATCTACTAGTCTAATTTGATTTAATTAATTACAGGGCTCTCATATTTACAATAAATTGTGCAACGTTTAAACTATACAAATATTTAAGCAACATGATTATATTATTACGCAAATAGAATTCATTGAACATCACTGTGTTTCATGTATTATCCTACGGAGCCGGACCAGCCTGCCTCCAAGCACTTTTATCCTCTATATAATCATTTAGTTTGTAGTATGCTTGTCTACATAAGGTTTTTTTAATACATAGTTTAAATTTTCTTTCATTTAGATGCAGTATTTCTTGGGGGATTTTGTTATAACATTTAACACCGATTCCCATGAACGACTTATGTACTTTTGACAATCTAAAAAATGGCAGACTTAATCTATTCTTATGTCTAGTTTCATAATTGTGTCTGTCAGACACTTCACTAAATAAATGTAGGTTTTTCCTAACATACATAATATTTTCATAAATAAATTGACATGGAACGGCCATAATATTGATCTCCCTAAACCTTTCTCTGAGAGATTCGCGACGACCTAGGTTGTATACAGCTCTGACGGCGCCCTTGCCGTCCAGTCTTGCCGTGTCTATATCGGTTAACTGACGGATTTTCCAGACAGCATAAGCTGCAGAGCTTAATCGTCCCGCTAGAGATGTAATATGAGGACCCCATTGTAATTTGTGTATGTGTAACGTTGCCAGACGTTCCGTTTACCTTCTTGTTGTCGGCACAAAGTTCGTGTTTACATGTTCCATAATAGGATCTATCTACTAGATGCCTCACTAAGTCTAAATAAACGAATGTCCCGTTTCGAGTCAAAATATAAATGGTCACGTTAGAAATCGAATCAAAGCATAGCAATCTTAATCACAACCCCATATCTCGAAACAGTTCATAGAACTAGTGGTAGTCACCGTTGCATTGTCTTATCTCTCACTCGACCAACCCATACCAGACCCATACCCTTCGGTTACTTCATTTCATTTCATATACGTAATATCTTCCCTTACTTGTCGTAATGTGTATGTTATTTGTCAGCTATTCATTCTTAGTAATGAAATGATAATAATTGTTCCCGAACGCAGCACAGACTGGGGTTTTCTCAAAGTCCACTACCTCACTGCAGTACTGGACGCGTTGGGTGGTATCTAGGAACGTTGTACGGAGCCTAACTGGCCGGCGCGTAGATACCGGCAACTCTTTTTAGTTTTACATGAATTTCTAACGATATCGGTACATACATATGTACTACTACCAGCAATAACGAATTCTAAATCTAACCTAACTATATCCATATACTATCTCACAGCCGACTAGCTTAGACTGCCCCTTGACGAATGGCCTACTAATGTACGCCCGGTTAGGTCGGAACTGCGACCTACACAGAAATGGACTAGCCACCAGAATTATACTGCGATATAGTCATAATTATATTATTAAACAGGCTACGCCGTCTATTCATGCAGGTTGGTTACACGTTGAGTACAATACAATACCTACATAAAGTGTAAATAAAAATCAGCTTTATCACTCTTTTTCCTTCGTATTTTTACGTAAATTACTGTTTGAATGAAGGAGTAGCGATCTCGTGAAGTTTGATTGTAAAAATATAATATAAAATAGACCAATATATTATGTAAACAATAAAATAATTACTTTTACTTTATAAATTAGTCGGCGGTTGCTCTATGTGCAAATACCACGATTCCTGTAATTTCGTTATCACCAACTTGACCGCAAACAATAGGACCATTTCCACCAATCACAGTGTTCTAACAGTTTACTACCCCCCCCCCCTAGCCCCATCCACAACCCTGCGTACGCGCAGACGGCACGAATTTTGCATTCAGTACTCAGTACCTACTACTCAGTTAGTGACCGAGACGTGCACACCACTGCAACTGCAAGGCGTTCTGCTTCAGATTACAATCGTGATGGAACCAGGAAAGGCTTCGAATAATTTGAAGGAGGTAAGTCTCATTTATTTGTAATGTTGATGTTTTTTTTGTCAATTTAGTACTGTCTCTAAACCGATTTTTATTATTTTTTCAGGACCAGAGCCAGAAACGAGAGCCTTCAACATCTACAGGCTCTAAAACATCCAGACCGAGGCGTGGCAGGCCTGCCGGTGCAAACCGGACCCCTCTGTCCTTGGTTCGTATGAAACAAATGTCACAAGTAATATACATTTTAAGTTATCTTTGGGACTGAACAATATATTAATAATGAACTTCACCTACAGGAAGAAAGGCGCGCTAGGAACGCTCAGTATGAGCGTGAAAGGCGAGAGGACTTGGCCGAAGCTCACTCGGAGCTAGCAGAGGCCGCGGGCTGTGATCCTAATGTAAGTTTACAAAACTCGAGTTTAAGGTGCGCCGCCGACTTTATTGTTATTTTACGATGCGTTATGTCTCATTTTGATTTCTTTTTGTAGATATCGACGGACGACTTGATGACACTCGTCATCACAAAACTCCAGCAGACAATTCCTGCAGAAGACATTAGGCTGGCTAATGTAGATCTGGAGGCACAAAGTAAGTGTAAAACCAAACGTTATTACCATAACCATTCAATTTATTGTCCTTAACATGAATGTGTGTCTTGTTACAGTTGCCAAATGTATCGAGCAGTTGCCTCCGGATTACATCGTCAGCGATGATGAAGAGGAGGTGCAGCCGGAAGAGCCCAACGTAAGATACGCTCACTTATTCAATTAGCGCACACTTGATAGTACACTTACTGGAAGATTATTAATACATAAATTTCTTTTAAATTACAGACTCGAAAACGGAAACCATCACATCGTGATACGTTTAGTGATGACAAACGTATGCGGCTCGGTGGGATGCAAATGCCAGCAGTGGGTTGGATGATATCGCCTGCTGACTTTGCCGAAGCCGTACCCGGACCACGAAATTACGAGTGGGAAGACGTAGACGCTTTCTGTGAGTATTAAGTACATTTATATTTGAGCAACTGATTTTTATAATGGCTTTGTGGCCATCTTATGCGTAGATTACTTTGTCTATTTTGGTTACATTTGTAACATACAACTAACCACTATTATATTTTTGTAGTGGCCGAACAGCTGTCCTCGTTTAACGCCGAGGCACCACCGGTAGTGCCATCAGTGGCATTACCACCTAACCCACCGATGACACCACTGGCGACACAACGGCCACGAAATTACGAGTGGGAGGACGTCGATGCTTTCTGTGAGTATTACATTTATATTTGAGCAACTGATTTTTATAATGGCTTTGTGGCCATCTTATGCGTAGATTACTTTGTCTATTTTGGTTACATTTGTAACATACAACTAACCACTATTATATTTTTGTAGTGGCCGAACAGCTGTCCTCGTTTAACGCCGAGGCACCACCGGTAGTGCCATCAGTGGCATTACCACCTAACCCACCGATGACACCACTGGCGACACAACGGCCACGAAATTACGAGTGGGAGGACGTCGATGCTTTCTGTGAGTATTACATTTATATTTGAGCAACTGATTTTTATAATGGCTTTTTTATAATCGCTTACCTATAGATGAAATTAGGTGTTACTTAACCCCAATTCGGTAAGAATAAAATGACTCGTAACATGGCATGGCATGTAGTAAAAACTACATAGTTGCGTTTAGGGTAAACGCGATCTAAAAATGGTTGTAACTGTAACGAGTACGAAACGATGAAACAACAGTATGAACAGCAGTAAAGTACAGGGCTACGGTGCACCGTAGCACGAGTGATACGCCGTAGCAGATGTAAGAGTACGGCGTAGCCGTTAGGTTACAATAGCGCGTAGATTCGTATTATCGAAAAGAGGAATCGCCTGAAACGTGGGTGTCTCCAAGACCCAAGCGAATAGTTTGCTTATGGGTAGACGTGCTCCATCTTAGCCCGCATCATCGCTTACCACCAGGCGAGTACAATAGAATAACGGCGAGCACGAAACTATGGCGAAACACCGAAAATATTTCATTTATTTATTTTTATTACAGAAAACTCAACAGCTTATTTAGTAAATGCTACATCTATAATAATGACAAGGCATGGAAACTTAAGCCAATAACAGAGTTTTTCAGCATGCATCAGGTAAAAGTAGGAGAGTGAACAATATAAAATAAAACTAAACAATCAAGAAAAATTTATATAAAGCAATATTTAAGAAAAATAATAATGCTATAAGAGTCACATACTAGTGAGTATTTGTATAAGCGACTTACGAAAGGATACCTTTGACAAATTAAATATATCAACACTCTCTCAAACTTCTCTGTGTAAATGCGAGGTAGTCGAGTCATAATAGCATTTTTCCCATAGTTCGTACGATGCGAGGGTATACTAAGCAAGTGAGTATGTCTTGTTCGAGACCTGTGCGAGCAGAATTCAACGCATGACAAGAGATCACTGCTGTCTATCCCACCCCGCAGGATATCATACAGAAGGAGCATGTCCAACATCTTCCGTCTGTCATCAAGTGGCAGTAAGTGGTAATGTTTACAATCCGTCAGGTAAGATGCGTGGCGTTTATGGCTTTTAATATTTAAAAAAATTATAAACCGTTTCTGAAGATTCTCCAAACGAGATATATGAATATTATATTGAGGAGACCAGCCAGGACTGCAATACTCTAATGTGCTGCGGACATAACCAAGATACACAATCTTGAGACTATGAAGGTTTCTGAATGGTTTATATGTGCGCATTACAAATCCAAGACTACGAGAGGCTTTACCAACTGTACGATCGATGTGTTCAGAGAATAGCAATCTAGAGTCCAGCAACACACCAAGATCTCTAACTACATGTACTCTTTCTATAGCTTTGTTGTCAAATTTATAACAATACTTTACGGGGTTTATGCGACGGGTGAAACTAATAGATTGACATTTCGATATATTCTCATTGATGTTATTCTGCGAGTAGTATTGGTATAATGAGTTAAAGTCATGTTGTATGAGCTCACAATCAGACACCGATTCGACCCGTAAGTATATTTTCATGTCATCTGCGTATAGAAGGTGTTTAGAGTATTTGAAACATGCTTGGATGTCATATAAGTACGCAGAATAAAATAGAGGTCCAAGCAAGGATCCCTGTGGGACACCGGACGTTATATCCACAAAGTCAGATCTAAAGCCACCGATCACAACAGCCTGAGAACGCTTGGACAGGTAAGAACTGATCCACCTAAGCAAGTCGCCGTGAATGCCAAGATTTTGGAGTTTCGAAAGCAGGATGACATGATCCACGCGATCGAATGTTTTTCGAAGTCTGTATAGATTGCATCAACCTGACCACCCGCCTCCATATTACGAAAAACATAGTTAGTAAAGGTGGCAAGATTAGATACTGTTGAGCGGCGTCTCATGAAACCATGCTGATATGGACCAATGCTATTGGATATCGTTGAATAAATATTATTGTAAATAATTCTCTCAAACATTTTGTTTTTAATATCCGATTTCGAGCCTTTCTTATGCAGAGGGACAATAAGTGCAGACTTCCACACTGAGGGAAATACGCCCTCAGTTAAGGACTTCCTAAACAGCAAGGTTATAGGGCGTATCAGGCTACTGGCACAGCCACGGAGAAATACGGGGGGCAAACCATCAGTTCCGGAGCCCTTGGTTCTGTTTAATGTGCGCAAGGGGCCGAGTACTGTATCCTTAGTGATATCAAGTGTCGATATTAAATTACTGGAAGTATTATTTAAGTCATTGGTGGTAGCTGACGGTAATGTGCCTATAGAAGAGTGTATGGATGGCCCGGCAAAGACACCTTGAAAGTATTCGCTGAAAGCGGTACAGATGCCATAACCATTATCGTAGGCCTTATTGTTTAGTGTAAAAGCTTTTAGATATTGACTACCACCACGTTTAACCTTTACATAGGACCAAAAAGTTTTGGGATAATGACTTATGTTTTTCTCAGTTAGCAATATATATTTATGAAAACATGATTTTAGAATGTCATGTTGTCTAGTACGTAGGATTGAAAATTCGTGGTAATCACGAGGATTTCCATATTCTTTCTATAGACTACAATTTTATTAATACATGAACTATTATTGCAAATAAAATTTAAAATACTGCTTATTGGTAAAATGGTGAACAGATCCACGGATACTGATGGTAAACTACTACCAAGCATCACGATGTCTTGATATAGTCAATTGGAAACATTCTTCGCATTTCTAAGTGATTTTCATAATCATTGGATAGCAACATTCCAACATTTCGACAGAACTAAGTTTCCACGGCTCGCTCAGGTAGGTATAACATTCTTTTGTCAAAGCAGTTTCAAGGCGTTCGCGTTCGCTTGGATAACAAAGTGGAAACAAAGCATAGTAACTAATCTTAATTACGCCCGCATATTTTGTAACAGTCGTGCGGACGTGCGACAGATCACGTAAGCAGTTAGTGGCAAACAATTATGATATTGGAAGTTCGTCTACAAAATCTGGTTCTGACATATCAGAAGCTGTTGAACACTCTTTTTTGAAGGTCTCTGTCCGACAATATTTCCGACGAATGCTGCTCATGTTACAATAGAATAAATTTTAGTAAGACCAAATAAATTGTTCGACACGGAGATTTTCGCTGAAAAATATATTTTTGTGTCGACGTTAAGAAATAACGTGAAAAGTGGTAAACCATTTCAAAATCCTAAATAAATGGACCAACTTCGGTGAAATTTGCAAATTCTTGGTCCGTCAAAAAATTACATTATTTCCAAAGAGCTACAGCCATTGGGTTAGAATTCATGATTCCATAATACTGTACTGCACTATTCGGGATAAGATAAGTAAAAACACAGACGAAAAATAAAGAATTGTAGCAACAAGAGTCAAAAGACTGGGACAGAGTGTACTTTTTCGTGGATAACACATAAGTTAATGTAATTAATTAATAACTGGACTATGACTTGGATTTTGTGTGTATGTGTAATGTTGCCAGACGTTCCGTTTTGAACGGGACCGTCCATTTTAATAATTACTTAGCAATGACTCTGGGTGCAACATACATCACGACCGTTCGAACGAAGAGCGACACGGCGTCATACATACCTTGCTAATTTTTGAAGTCGAAAAATCTTTAAGTAGGTATTTACTTGAATTTTTGTGCTGTAAAGTAATGTTAACCTTCTTGTTGTCGGCACAAAGTTCGTGTTTACATGTTCCATAATAGGATCTATCTACTAGATGCCTCACTAAGTCTAAATAAACGAATGTCCCGTTTCGAGTCAAAATATAAATGGTCACGTTAGAAATCGAAACAAAGCATAGCAATCTTAATCACAACCCCATATCTCGAAACAGTTCATAGAACTAGTGGTAGTCACCGTTGCATTGTCTTATCTCTCACTCGACCAACCCATACCAGACCCATACCCTTCGGTTCCTTCATTTCATTTCATATACGTAATATCTTCCCTTACTTGCCGTAATGTGTATGTTATTTGTCAGCTATTAGTTCTTAGTAATGAAATGATATTAATTGTTCCCGAACGCAGCACAGACTGGGGTTTTCTCAAAGTCCACTACCTCACTGCAGTACTGGACGTGTTGGGTGGTATCTAGGAACGTTGTACGGAGCCTAACTGGCCGGCGCGTAGATACCGGCAACTCTTTTTAGTTTTACATGAATTTCTAACGATATCGGTACATATGTACTACCACCAGCAATAACGAATTCTAAATCTAACCTAACTATATCCATATACTATCTCACAGCCGACTAGCTTAGACTGCCCCTTGACGAATGGCCTACTAATGTACGCCCGGTTAGGTCGGAACTGCGACCCACACAGAAATGGACTCGCCACCAGAATTATACTGCGATATAATCATAATTATATTATTAAACAGGCTACGCCGTCTATTCATGCAGGTTGGTTGGCTGCGAATTTCATTACATGTTGAGTACAATACAATACCTACATAAAGTGTAAATAAAAAATCAGCTTTATCACTGTTTTTACTTCGTATTTTTACGTAAATTACTGTTTGAATGAAGGAGTAGCGATCTCCTGGAGTTTGATTGTAAAAAATAAAATAGACCAATATATTATGTAAACAATAAAATAATTACTTTAACTTTATAAATTAGTCGGCGGTTGCTCTATGTGCAAATACCACGATTCCTGTAATTTCGTTATCATCAACTTCATCGCAAACAATGGGACCATTTCCACCAATCACAGTGTTCTAACGGTTTACTACCCCCACCCCTAGCCCCATCCGCAACCCTGCGTACGCGCAGACGGCACGAATTTTGCATTCAGTACTCAGTACCTACTACTCAGTTAGTGACCGAGACGTGCACACCACTGCAACTGCAAGGCGTTCTGCTTCAGATTACAATCGCGATGGAACCAGGAAAGGCTTCGAATAATTTGAAGGAGGTAAGTCTCATTTATTTGTAATGTTGATGTTTTTTTTTGTCAATTTAGTGCTGTCTCTAAACCGATTTTTATTATTTTCTCAGGACCAGACCCAGAAACGAGAGCCTTCAACATCTACAGGCTCTAAAGCATCCAGACCGAGGCGTGGCAGGCCTGCCGGTGCAAACCGGACCCCTCTGTCCTTGGTTCGTATGAAACAAATGTCACAAGTAATATACATCTTAAGTTATCTTTGGGACTGAACAATATATTAATAATGAACTTCACCTACAGGAAGAAAGGCGCGCTAGGAACGCTCAGTATGAGCGTGAAAGGCGAGAGGACTTGGCCAAAGCTCACTCGGAGCTAGCAGAAGCCGCGGGCTGTGATCCTAATGTAAGTTTACAAAACTCGAGTTTAAGGTGCGCCGCCGACTTTATTGTTATTTTACGATGCGTTATGTCTCATTTTGATTTCTTTTTGTAGATATCGACGGACGACTTGATGACACTCGTCATCACAAAACTCCAGCAGACGATTCCTGCAGAAGACATTAGGCTGGCTAATGTAGATCTGGAGGCACAAAGTAAGTGTAAAACCAAACATTATTACCATAACCATTCAATTTATTGTGTTTGTTCGAGTAAACAAATTCCTTAACATGAGTGTGTCTTGTTACAGTTGCCAAATGTATCGAGCAGTTGCCTCCGGATTACATCGTCAGCGATGATGAAGAGGAGGTGCAGCCGGAAGAGCCCAACGTAAGATACGCTCACTTTATTCAGTTAGCGCACACTTGATAGTACACTTACTGGAAGATTATTAATACATAAATTTCTTTTAAATTACAGACTCGAAAACGGAAACCATCACATCGTGATACGTTTAGTGATGACAAACGTATGCGGCTCGGTGGGACACAAATGCCAGCAGTGGGTTGGATGATATCGCCTGCTGACTTTGCCGAAGCCGTACCCGGACCACGAAATTACGAGTGGGAAGACGTAGACGCTTTCTGTGAGTATTACATTTATATTTGAGCAACTGATTTTTATAATGGCTTTGTGGCCATCTTATGCGTAGATTACTTTGTCTATTTCGGTTACATTTGTAACATACAACTAACCACTATTATAATTTTGTAGTGGCCGAACAGCTGTCTTCATTTAACGCCGAGTCACCACCGGTAGTGCCGTCAGTGGCATTACCACCTAACCCACCGATGACACTACTGGAGACACCACGGCCACTAAATTACGAGTGGGAAGACGTAGACGCTTTCTGTGAGTATTACATTTATATGTGAGCAACTGATTATAATAATGGCTTTGTGGCCATCTTATGCGTAGCTTATTTTGTCTATTCTGGTTACATTTATAACATGCAACTAACTAGTCTTATATTTTTTGTAGTGGCAGAAAAGCTGTCGTGACGAAACACCTAGCACCATCACCAACCCCATCAGCATCGCTACAGCTAGAGTTACCGTTCGAGCGAGACATAGACTATCAAGATTTGTTCTGTTAGTATTAGACTTGTAATGGAGTAGCTATGTCTATTTTGGTTGCATTTGTAACACACAACTAACTATAGTGTCGTATCTCTGTAGTTGCACAGCCGGAGCGGACACCAAACCCACCGTTGACACCACTGACTCCGCCACCGAACCAGCGCTTCCCATCGCAATCAACATCACGACTTCTATCTGTATTCTCATCACCATTAGCACCGCTTCGTAATTACGACTAGAAGACTTAGAAAATTTCTGAGAGCAACTGATTATGATAATGGCCTTGTGGCCATCTTGTTCGTAGCTTACTAACTAATCCTATATTTTTCTAATAGCAGAACAGCTGTCATCGAGTAACACCGAGTTACAACCAGTAGTGCCGTCAGAGGCATAACCGTCGTCATCACTACCTCCATAAGAACTTTCACTACCATCAGCACCGCTATGGAATTACGAATTAGAAGACTCTGATACTTTCTGTAAGTATTAATACAAATGTATCGCAGTGACTATGTCTATTTTGGTCGCATTTGTAACACACAACTAACTAGTGTTGTATTTTTGTAGATACACGGCCAGAGCCGACACCTGGAGGTTATGCGTATTTGGAATGGGTATATCTATGATTTGTGCACTTTTGTTGGTCTTATCAATGAGTGTGATGTCTGGTCTATTGAAGTGTGTGGTTTTGTCGGTAAGAATAGTACGGTCAAAGTACAACTTAAAGGCAGAGTTTTCAAGAACGATTTCTGGGTGGTATTTGTAATACGGTGTTGGTGGGCCGGAGATTAAATTATATTTTAAAGCTAATTTTTAGTGAATGGTATTTGCCACTTAGTTGTGTCTGTGTTTATAATCAGATTGAACTATGGCTTTGAGGACACCTGTGACATGCTGATTAGTTTCAGATGCACTATTACAGCGCTTGCAAATGTCAGCGGGTATAGGAATATGCATTATGTTTTTGATAGTTGCGGGTTTCTATTACCTGGTCCTGTATCGCCAACATTAACTCCTCAGTGTCAGGAAATAATTTACTGCGTCTTATCCATTCCTTAGATGCAACTTTATCGACATTTGATTTATTAAGGTTGTGGTAGTCCCTCCCATGTATTGATATGATTTTGGTTTGTCGATCAGTCTGTGTCTAATTGTTTTGTGTCGTTTGATCGGCCATGTTCAATGGTGTGAGTTTGGTATCATTTTGGGCTATTGCGTTATGAATAGTTGATGAAGGACTTTTACTATAGAAATTAGATCTCAAAATTGTAATTTGTTTGTTATGTAAATTGAGGATATCTATAATACTTCTTCTTTCGTTGTTTCTTGGAAATGTAAGTCTCTGTATGCATGCTCTTGGATGGTATCGTCTGTGTTTTGTTAGTGCTGTATTAATATTGCGTTGGAGATTCTAAAGTTCAATTTGGACCAATTTATGATACCAAATGAATATGTCAGAATTGGAATAGAGTAATTGTTAATAGCTTTTATAGTATTTCGGGCGTTTAATTGAGTATTACATATTTTTAGTCTGTGTTTATATTGTTTTGTGAGCTGGCTTTTAATTTCTTTGTGCAAGATTTGTTTGGTTTGTATGTACCCTAGATATTTGTAAGTACCACTTTCATCCAAGGAATCAATGGTATCTATCTACCTATTTGTAACTGACAGGAATGCGAGTAAGTTGTGCATGCATTTACTGAATTGATTTTGCATATTTTATCGATGCGAAACTCCATTCCTATGTCATTTGAAAATATTTCGGTTGCATCAGCTAGCTGATGTAAATCCTGTGAAGAAGATGCGTATAATTTCGTCGTTCATATAGAGAAGATGGTTATTATACAGTGTTGGTGTCAAATTTCTGTTATTTTTTAATTTAGTATTTTGTGTAAAGTGCATTTAGTATATCTATTTAACCTACTTTTAATTGCTGTGAGTTGTGCTGTTTGTGTGTGTCTAAGTAATGTGTTCGTTGCCTTTTAGGTTTTATGTGTACAGTGTGTGTCTTATAATCTCTTATATTATCTTATTAACTTCCCTATCCAGTTTTCTACTTCTATGGCCCTGCATGTAATATGTTAACATACCTATTTTAGACCTAATTACTTCTATTTTATGTTCTAATTTCTTCTGATATCTAGGTTTACGATTGCTCTGCGAGATATTACGATCTTTAGCAAATGATAAACTGATTTTACCTTCATTGACCTTAGCGGCAGTCCACGCAGTATTATATAATATGATTGTTTGTAGTTGGTTAAAATCTGCATCTCTATTAACATGATCTGGCAATATTACTTTATTAATGTATTGTAAATTATTATTTTTATTACTGTTATTGCAAATTGTTTTGAAGTCCTTTGTTTGGGTATATAGCAACTATTGTTGGGATGGGTTTTAGTGTAATATTGTAGGGATTCTAAGAATAGTTCGTCTATATCAGAGTATCTTTTATAGTATTCAGTATGTGTGTTAATAGTAGTGGGCTGTTGATCGAAATTTTCGAACTGCGTTAAAAAACCCGACTTCAAAAACTAAAAACAACCGAAAATTAAAAAGCAAAATATAACTATTATTGGTCATACGTACTTATAGCTTACAACCACAACGTAGAGATACTATATATATTTTTTTCTTGCAATTCTCCTTGCTCTCGGCCCTAAGGCCGGTTTTAATGTCCTTTACGGACTTCCGCCAAGTAAAGGACATATAAAGAATATTATTCGGTAGCTTTTAGTGAATTGTGACCATCAATCGGTTCTATGGGTTGGGTTTGTGGTGGTGGTGGTTATGCTGAGATTTCATTTTCGTCTATCTGCATGAATTTTCTAACTATACAACACGTGTTTAGTATAGCCGCCTTTTGCAATCTGATATATATAGTTCCTTTGATATTCAATAACTTTAAACTGTGAAAAAGGTGTTTTGGGATTACTCAAGTAGTAGACAGGACAATCGGCACTTTGGACTTTAATATGGCAAACCTTGAGACAATTATGGAAACGCTGACATTCACCATTCAAAAAACTGTTTATAGCAAGGCCATCATTAAAACAAAAAAATAAATCAAGCGAACGAGTGCTGAAACAAATGAGTAATCGTCGGAAATAATAAAATAAATATAGATATACAATAAATAATATAAGAATATATCAAGTGTTATCAAAAATATATATTTTTGTATCGCTAGAATAAGATTTTATGCTAATATAATATAGAAACATTTGACCGATTGACTTAACAAAAAACAACGAATATCATAACTTAAAAAAGACAAGAAGCTGAATATCAAAATTAATCAGTGCCAACACTAAAAAAAATGCAAGAATATCAGACAATTATGATATAGAAACAATTGATATAGAATAGAAAATAATAATATATATATAATAATAATCGATAACAAATAAAATAAAATCTTCTTTTCGACACGTAAATAAAAAGCAACTATCATCAAAACAAAAAAAATAACTATAACAATAACAAAAAGTCAAAGACCTAAAAATACAATAAGCTAAATACTAAAAAATAAAACATTCAATTGACAACTTGACAAGTTGTCGTAATGACAGTGACATTGACAAAATTCGTGAAACCAAACAAAACCCACAAAATTAAAAACAAGTGGACTTGTTGGTAGCGGTGAAGGTTACGCACGTGCTTTTGTCGTTCCTACGTTTAGTCTGTTAGTTTTAGTGTTTTTATTCATAGTGAAGCGAACTGAAAACCTTTTAGTCCTGTGTTGTCGTGTTTTTATCTGTGTGTGTAATTTTTAATAAGGTATTGGTTGTTGTAAGTGAAGTTAACCACTTGTTCCCTCTTTAATCCTAATCTCCGAAATGGACGAGGAGAAACCACCTGACCCTCCTGATAAATCCCCCCAATATGAAACCGAATCAATCCTCACGATTATCCTTCCTCCCAACACCCCGGAATCTGAAACAATGGAGTTAGAAACCGCGAACAGCAGGAAACGACATGCCGGCTCCCCACCTATCTCCCAGAATAATCCCCCAAAATTGGCAAAAAGTACGCACGGTAGACAGTGCTACACGGCCAGGGATAACCCCCCATATATAGTTTATGTATCCCTTAAGGATTCCCAGACGTCTGGAACCACGCTACACCCTGTTAAGTTTGGGATGTTTTTAATGAAACACAACATTAACAATGTTAAAATTGGTGGTGTCAAACGGCTGGGTAGGAATAGAGTATCGGTCGAGTTTGTGTCTCACCAGGATGCAAACAGTTTCTTAGTGAACGGTATGGTGGCTCAAAACTATGTGACCTCGATCCCACAGTTTAACATAACTCGTATGGGCATTGTAAGGGACGTCCCTGTCGAGTGGACAGAGGATGAAATAATTGGTAATATCAGGGTTCCCGCCGGGTGTGGGGCTGTGATAAAAGCTAGGAGGATGAATAGAAGAGTTACATCTACAAATGGTACTGAATGGAAGCCTACGCAAACTGTAGTGCTAACTTTCGATGGTCAAACCCTACCCAAAAAGGTGTTCTGTTTTTATTCAGCACTGCCGGTGGAATTGTACTCATACCCTACCATACAGTGTTATAATTGTTGTCGTTTTGGGCACACCCGCACCCTTTGCCGCTCCAAGCCACGTTGTTTCAGATGTGGCCAGGATCATCCAGGCGATGGATGTCAGATTGCAGCCGAGATTGCCCATTGTATCAACTGCAATGGCAATCACTTTGCTACGACAAAGCTTGTCCTGAGTTGGGTCGCCAGAAGAGCATCAAAGCATTGATGGCGGAAAAGTCAATCTCATATACGGAAGCAAGCCAAGTTTTCCCAACTGTTAAAAGGTCTTATGCTGAGGTCTCAAGATCAGCCAACCTTATAGTTTCATCTCCCAACAAAACTCCATCCCAACAAAGAGTGTCCTACAAGAAAACAGTCCAACTCAAGCCTAAATCACATGCGCCCCTCTCTCCTAGCTATGATAAGAAGGCCCATCGGGCCCTTATCCAAGACTACTCTTTCTCCCCGTCTAAAAATGGTTGCGCTTTCCCTGTGGAATCCGGAACCAATACTCGTAGCTCCAAGTACATCCTAAATATAGTCTCTGATATGCTCATGGCAGTGCTAGCAAACCCTGCCCAAAATATACCTGACCACGTCGCACACAAACTTTCTACAATTCTAGATTACATCTGTAACATTCCATCCTCTAACACTGCTTCAGTGGAACGTGAGGAGTACTCTTCCCAGGAA